CTTCTCAGTGCAGCTTAAACTGGGAAATGGGACTTCCCATAAGGTGTTGTCCTGCTCTTACGTCTTGCTGATTTTCTTGGTAAAAGGGATTTTTCTGAATGGTCCAATGCGTTGGACATCAGCTTGAGAGTTCTTGTCCCAAGCTCTGAATGACTAGCAGAGCTTTGGCAGATGCTGTGAGCTGCCTTGAAGCCATGCAGTCAGTATTAAGGACCACTCATACATATCTAATGTATATGCAGAGCTGTGTGTGGGATTTGAAGATCAGAATCCCAGGGACCTCGTCGTCAATAATGATTTTTGGCAAAAGGGAAGGAGAGAGGGGCAAACTAATGCATCTGGATCTCCAGGTGTGTTGAAGTGCTTTATAGCAGTAAAGGTATCAAATGTGACATAGTTCTTAATTGTCCCTTCTCCACACGAAAATCCGTGTAGAAAAACCACTTGGATGTGAACAGAAATGCCCTGCCATACTGGGGAGGATGTGGTTGGAATGTCCTTATGGCCTGGACGTTGATTTCACTTGAGCATATTAATTTGTGGGTTGCCCAGTGGAGGCAGGAGGACTCAGTCCTTCTGTGCCTCTGTCTCACCTTTGCCTGCAGCTTTCCCAGGTGCTTGGCCAAGTTGCCTGAGCTGGTGGAGCTCCCAGGTGTGCACACCTTGAGATGTGCTGTGCTGCAGCTGGTTGTATCGGCTGTGTGACTGCGCCAGCATATGGTGACAAGCAGGAGTGTCTGGGTTGGTGGTGTTTTAGCCAGTGTCCCTCACTCTTGACTGAGCAGCACTCTGTTAACAGAGTGGAAAATGCAGATTTCTATATGCACAGCCCATGCCTGTGGGTAGGCTGAGCCCTACTGAGTCTTTGGAAACTGCACTGTGTGATTCCACTCCACCCGTGTGTCTGTGAGTGGACATTTTGTCTGTGGGTTGTGTGAGTAGCTTCTTGGAGGAGTGAGAGTGGAAGGAGGGGTTAGAGTGGAAGGAGGGGTGGTCCTGTGGAGGAGCAACGGCTTGAAGATCTAGTATAACCCTGTCTGTTTTACTTTATTGCTGCAAAATGTTTAAATCTATCCTCTAGAGACAAATGAATCTCTGATCTTTTAACCTTGGGAAATCCTGCCTCCTAGAGCTGTGACTGTAGAATTTCATAGAATCATAGACTGGTTTGGGTTGGAAGGGACCTTAAAGCTCATCCAGTCCCAACCCCCCTGCCAGCAGCAGGGACACCTTCCACTAGACCAGGTTGCTCAAAGCCTCATCCAGCCTGGCCTTCAACACTTCCAGGGAGGAGCAGCCACAGCTTCTTTGGGCAACCTGTTCCAGTGTCTGACCACCCTCACAGTGAAGAACTTCTTCCTAATATCTCATCTAATTTCAGAGAGTATTTGGGGTAGCAGTAAAACTGTGGTAGGTCAGTGTGTGTGTGGCTGTTTCCAGAGTGGTGAGCGATAGCCCCTGGATGCTGCAGCGGGTGCAATGTGGAGATGTCCGTCTCGGTGGGGAGGTGCACCACACGTGGCACCCGCAGCTTCTGTGTGCCTAAAATAGGGACAGATTCCCAATTCTGCGGGGACCAGCGGGTGAGGTGAGGTTCCTGCCAAGTTACCCATCGCTGTCTGTCGGGTTTCATCTCTGTCCACGTAAGGATGTGGTGGTGCCCTCTGATGGTGGTGGTTGTGTGGACTGCATCATCCAGTTAACTGCTTCCTTCGGGCTGGGAGGGACTAACTGGTTGATTTACACCTCCTGCAGCACTGTCCCTGAGGAGTTGCCTTGGGAAGGAACACTTCATTACCCAATAAATCGATCGAACCTTTAATATTTCTGTTTAAGTATTTAATATTTCCGTTTAAGGAGCGGTCAGTACAGCAAACTCAATCCTGTAGCGGGAGGTGCAGGAGGCACGGCATCTTTGTTACAGTTCCTCAGGTTACAGCTGCCTGGTCCCTTTTGTGAAAGGAAGATAGAACACCATACATCTTTTTTCCATTAATAAATCTCCCTTCTTTTCCCCCATCTCTTCTCTCCCGTTGTCTTCTGGTAGTGTTAAGAAGTTGCACACATCCTGAGCGATTGCACGGTGCTTTGGGATATCTTGGGGTGAGGAGCTGTGTGGGGTCTGATGTTGGACCCTTTGAACAGGTGTAAATCCCCAGTTCAGCAGAACTTCAGGAAGCTGCGGTTGCTGGGAGGATTGGATCAGAGAACAGTTTGTGTGGCTGGAAACAGCAACGGGGATGGATATGAATAGGGAAGAACTTCCCTCTGTCGTGGCAGCGAGCTTGGAGGGAGTGACTGGAGTGCGAGGAAGGGTGGACCGTGGGTTTGCAGAACATGGAGGCGAGCAAGCACAAGGAGAGCTCCTTTGCCACCCAGAAACCAGTGTGTGCCTGTCCTGCTCCTGGTTTGCTCCTTGCCCTGTCTCACTGGGTGGGCTGGTACCTTCCTCCAGCTGCCTCGGTATCAGTTGTAAAGCTGAAGTGCAGTTTGAGTAACCGAGTGATTCCTCTCCAGCCTTTTCTCCTCCCTCCGCTTCCTGTTCCTCTGCTCTGCCTTGTTTGCTCAAGTCAGGAAGGGGGAGGGTATGGGGGAAGTTAATCATTAAACTGTAATGTCTTCTTCTTAACTCCTTCACAACCTGGGGACAGAGTGCTCCTGGCATTTCCAGACCCCTCTTCTTCTGCAGGCTTGTAAGAGTAATCTGGTAAATCAAACTGAGCTCAGCTCTGTGCCGTTAGGAGAAAGCAGGGGATTTCTGTCCGATTCGGCGGAGCGCTGAGCCCAGGAGGAGGATTCTGTGCCGAGATGGTTACATCTGCCTGTCCTACAGTGAGGGCTGGGGCTGGAGGGTGGAAAAATGGTTTGGGTCACCTCTGCAGGGCTGTAGGAGCCCAACACCCTCATGGGATTTTCACTTCCTGGTGGAGTTTGATTTGCCTTTGTCATTGGTGGGGAGAAGCAAAAAACCACACCTTCTTGGATAGCACTTCTGTTGGAGGTTGTGTGCTCGAAACCTCCAGTCATAGGACCTGCCTGGTTGAAGGAATTGCAGCTCTTCAGCAGTTCCCTTGAGGTATGTGCCTTTCACTCCGGAATCCACCAGCTGTTCTTTTGCTTAAAAAGAAGATTAAGTTCATTTTTCCCCAGCTGCTGAAGCTTGTATCCCTTCGGAGAAACTGCTTCTGGGGTGTTTTGTCCCCTGTAGGAAGATGCCTGTGGCTTAAATGATTTGGAGCATCTTTTTTGGCTAAACGAAAGCTGCGTAGAGTTAATTTAACTCAGTGTTTAATTTGCTAATGGCTGTATCCTCTTCTGTGAGGGCAGAACTGCTTTTTCTTTTTTTTCTTGTGATGCTTTGAGAGCAAATATAAAAGAAACACCTTCCTCCTCTTGTAATGCAATAATACTGTCCTCCATTTGACCCTTTAATATATTTTCTTGAAGGGCTGCTAAGTGCATTGACTAGTGTGGTCTCTGCTGTGCTCAGGAAGTGGCTTTGAGCTGGCAGGTGCCTGTTCCCTTCCAGCCCTTACGCAGCCATTGGGGCCAGCAGTTGTTTGGTTGCTATTCTGGTACCACCTGATAATTTCAGCTCCTTGTGACCCCGGTGGAGGATACTGCAGGATGGCCACGCTCAGGCTGAGCTCTCACCCCCCAAACCTCAGTATCGAGTATCTGCTGTGTGTGGGAGGAGAAAGACCAATCCTGCTGACAGATACTGCCTAGAGACCTTTGGGTCTGTGTGGAGGGGAGGGACATCCAGGGGATTGCTGAGAGCCTCTTCTCCTCATTCTGCTAAAGTTGTCTTACTGATGTCTGGCTGAGTTCCACATCTCTGAGGGGACCTGCCAGGTATGTCCTGATGCTCTTACAGTGGAAAGTGCTGATGTCCCTAGTGAACCAGCTCCTCTCTAATAGCCTTAAAGAGGTGTGCACTAGAGCTTGCTGCCCCAGTGGAGGGCTGGGCACCCAGCCAGTGAGGCTTTCTTTAGAAAGTGAGTACAGTCCAGACCTGCAGTTACTCACTGGAGTTTCCCCCAGCAGGGACTGCAGTGGGCTCTGCAGGGCGGGTTCACAGGACAGAAGGTCCAACAAGTCAGGATTTGCCTGTCAGTCACCGCAGAGGAGTGCAGGACTGGGAATGAACAGAGGAGAGATTGCAGAGAGAAATCCAGAATGGTGGGAATGCCTTTTCATGCCCCATCTTTGAGAGACAGCATTTTTCTTGCTTTAAGGTTTCTGAGAGGTGCCGCCTGTGTGACGTGGGTTCCTCTGCCTGGCCTCAGTGCCGGTGTTTCTAGCTGGTGGAAGTTTTTCTTCTCTTCAGGAATTTGTGAGCAGTCTCCACCCAGTAAGTTGAGAATTGTTTCCAGGAGAAGAAATGGCGTTTACCTGGCAGCCTCTGGAAACTAGTTAACTGTTTGTGTGATGTACTGAGAGGAGCTTTTGTTAGGAAGACTGAAGCACATACTCCTGCTGCGCCCATGGACTAATTTGAGAGTTTCATGCTTCTTCCACTACCTTAGGCTCTGGAGAAAACCCCTCCCGAGATCTTGTTTCCTGCAGAAAGCAGTGCCTGCGGCCACAGTAAATGACTCTGTGATGATGTGGGGCCTGTAATTAGTCTGTGTCAATATCCTGTTGCGAGTCCATCTCTGGGCAGGTTCCTCCTAGGTTGCTCTTACACAGTGTGTGGTGTGACTACGGGTCCCTGTTGTTGGGTAGTTTTCTAGTTAAGACAAAAATCTGATGAGACTGACAGTTTTTTTGTCTGCTTTGTTATCTTTTGGCATTTTCTTTGTACTAGAAGTTTGATTAACCCCATCAGTCCTGGGGTGCAGTCATGTTTTTTGGGGTGTTTAGTAGATCACCCTAGACAAAAGTCTTCCTGAAGACCTTCTGATACAGATATCTTGAGTGAGATGAAAGAGGAAAAAGCTGTAGTCCAGGGTTTTACCTTTTTTGAGGTTTGTGTTGGATTTTTTTTCCTGCAGACGCCTTACTGGCAGACCTGGAATCCACCACTTCACATATCTCAAAACGACCAGTGTTTCTAACAGAGGAAACACCTTACTCCTATCCAACTGGAAACCATACGTACCAGGAGATTGCTGTGCCACCTCCAGTGCCCCCACCGCCTTCCAATGAGGCCCTGAATGGCACTGTGATTGACCCCGTAGACCAGTGGCAACCCAACACATCCAGATACGTCCACCAGCAAGTAAGTGAGGTGAGGGAACAGCAAGAAGCGAGTTTGGCTGTGAACGGAGTGGGGAAATGGGGGAGGTGTGAGTTTTTAATAGAACTAACTGGTTGGAGCAAATGGCAGAAAAGAATTTGAAGCTCATCGTTCCTAGTCCGACAAAATGGTAGTGTGATGAGATTAGTGTTAGTCATCTGTCTCATAGCCTGTGGAAAGCAGAGTGGGGGTTTCCAGCACAGATCTACAACTCATAGGCAAATCTGAAACAAGTGGAGAACAGTTGTTCCTGGTGTAGCTCATCTGATAGAGGCTGGTTGGCTATATAGCAGATTTTGGAGGTTTTTTCCTTCTGCTGGGCTTTGTTCTGTGCTATCCATGCGTGGGATTGCAATGCAGTAGTGTACACACTTGTTTTGTATTCTCTGTTTCCAATGCAAATCTCTCTTCCACAGCCTCAGTCCCAGTCTCCTATATACAGCTCTAGTGCCAAAAGCTCCAGTGCCTCTGTTCCTAGAGACGGGCTCAGCTCTCCTTCTCCGCGTGCCAGTGAAGAGGAACACGTCTACAGGTACCTGTCCCTGTTAAGAGATCAGCCTGACTCACAGCTCGAGCCTGCCGTGGCTCAAGCTGCCTTCTGTAGGTGGAGACCAACACTGCTCCCTGTGTTGTGTGTCCTGGTTTTGGTTACCTCTTTTGTAAGAGGCCACTGTAACTTTCATACTCGCTTCAAACATTGACCTGGCCCTTGGGTTTGCTGAGCTGCAGAAGAGGTTAAGGATCCATCAGACAGAACAGGGTGTGGATTGTGTTGTGAAGGATATGATCCAGAGACAAGTGACAGATCCAGCCCCCTGTCAGGCAGCCCAAAAGTTCTTTAGGAGGTGGGTGGCCTTTGGGTCAGTTATCCCAGGGAACTCAGTTGCCCGTGGCCTAGCAGGACGTACATTCACTTGAATTTTCATCTCAGTAGATGATAGGTAGGTAGATAATTAGTTTCTGCTGGCAAAGGCAGCTGCTCTTACACTGAGAGGTTGGAGAAGTGGCCTGTACAGTAGGACAGACCATTCTGCTGATATGGGGATGAGTGAGGATGAGGCTGTCACAACTTCATCTCCGATGGCCCTGGACAGTGCCCTCTGTCCTGGGTACCTTCTTATAGACTGGTGTTTCTCTGGTGTCACGTTCTAACCATGCCTAGCTGTTTCTGCTGAGCAGGTAGTTGCTTTCAGCCACAACTCATTCTGGGTAGAGGCAGGAATATCCAGAGATGACCCAATGGAAGCAGTAATAGCAATTTTTTCAGATGGCTACGTGAAATTAGTGCAAAATGGAGGTAATTACATCTGTAAGTTCTCCTGTAGAAGGGTCTAACATGGCTTGTAGCTTGTGTGCTTGGGTCAGGAAGCAGTGTGCCCTCCTCAAGTTGCATGTGTGGATTTTTTTTTTTTCCAGTCTGAAGAGAAAGTTAATAACTGCCCTTCTGAAATTCCATAATTGTCACTGGTGTTGTAGGTGTCAGAGTCCTAAAGCTCGTTATATATTAACTTTCTGAGCATAACGTGGTAGTGTGTGTAAGACAGAAGTTTACCTTTTGGATTTGGAAAGTATCTTTTTGATAAAATAAGAACCTTTAGAGCATCAGAAGTTGGTTATTTGTTCGTAAAACTACGGGGAAAATAATTTCCCTGTCATTTGTGATGAGAAGACTGTTACTACAGTGTAATCACTATAAAATCACTGCATTGGTGCCAAGTTTTGCTTTGAAATGGTTTGCAGTTGTGTGTGGTAAATTGGGTCACCCATAGATGATAAGGAATAATTACAGCCAGTGTTTTACACACTCGTGCACAGGTAAACTTCTTTCAAGGCTTGTGTATTTAACACAGTAGAAAATAGTTTCAAATTACTTTGTTATAAATTGATTAGAGTTCCCTAAATTAAAGGTTTGAGGACTTGAAAAGAGACCTTGAGTGCTGCAAGAGGCTGAGCAGCACATAACCTGCTGCTTTTGACTTTTTGTTGATAGCTTGAGGTTTGTGTTCTGCCTCTTTCTCAGTCTGTGCTGGCCCTGCATTCCCTTGCTTCAGGGCAGAGGTTCTTGCTGCTTGGTGTGATGTCAGCAGAAACAAGTCATTTTCCTGGATGCCAGCTAATGGTTCTGCTGCTGTTCTGTGCATCTTGGATCTGCAGACAGTTAACTCTTTGCTACAGGGCCATGCAGCACACGGTCCTAAAACCTGAGGCTCTGGCCATCAATGCTATTTCTTTGGAACTGGCAGTTGAAAATGTGGCTAAGCAGTGTGTGTGGTGTGGTGGTTTCACAAAGCACATGTCTTTCCCCCAGAGCTAAAAGCATCAGCTTGAAAAGAATACAGTACATATGTGAACTTCGTGAACCTAATGTAAGTTTCTCTCTATCCTGCTGCATCTTTATGTAGAAGTTTCACACTTCCCCTTTTATCTGTAGTTTCCCGAACAAGCAGAAGTCTGCAGAACCATCTCCCACAATGACCAGCTCTTCTCTGGGCAGCAACCTCTCAGAACTGGACAGACTTCTTCTGGAACTTAATGCTGTTCAGCATAATCCTGCCACTGGCTTCCCAGCAGGTAAGGAATAGTGAGACATTTGGTACGAGTAGATAGTTTGATTCTCAAAATAGTAGCCTACTTCTTCCTTCCAACATCCTTACTGAGGAAGACCCCTCCAGCCCCTGATCAAAGATCCTTTTAGTATGTAAGGGATCTCTTGAGGTCTGTGGTGGAGCACTCTGCTCAAAGCAGGGCCAACTTCAAAATTGGCTCTAACTAAAGTTTCAAAGTTAGATCAGGTTGCTCACGCCCTTGCACTTTTAAGTTCTGAATATCCTCAGAGATGGATGTTCCACAAGTGTTCTGGGCAATTTGTTGCTCTTGCCTGTGATTAGCATGCGTGTGTGGACCTAGGGGTCTGAATGACTCTCTTCTGCTCCCCTTTCTTAAGGTGAAACCAGCAGAAGCCCATCACTGCCCAGTGTGACTGGACCTCACTATGTTGTCCCAGAGAGCAGCAGCTCTGTGGGGGGGAAGGCTGCACCCCCTACAAAAGAAAAGCCGAAGCGAAATGGTGCACGTGGGATTGAAGATGTGCGTCCCAGTGTGGAGAGCCTGCTGGATGAGCTGGAGAGCTCTGTGCCAAGTCCAGTGTGAGTAGTGTTTTGGTGGTTGGTGACTTGCATGGGATGGGACAGGCTCTTGTGGGAATAGTAACTGTAGTGGTAAGGGCAGGTGCTGCAGGAGAGTGACAGGCAGAAGGTGGGCTTTGTCTAGGGTCAGAAATCAAATGAGCGCATGAAGATGCTGGTGCTCTTCTGTCTCCTCCTGGATGAAAAAATACATAAGTCATGTTCCAAGAGGTGGATTGTTCAAGCTCTGATTTAAAGCTGATCAGATACCCACTGTCTGACAAAATGAATGTTTAGTCATCATCTGTTCCTTAATGGATGGCGTGTGTGTGTGTACACTCGTGTCAGACCTGGTAGAGAGATGGGATCTCTGTGTGTAGTGGAAGCTGGGTCTAGGGGAGGGCTGGGCAGGGTGGGCAGTGCTGGTGAAACTTGCTGTGCTTGTTTGGAAGGGCAGTGGGACTTTTAGTCTGGGAGTGCTCTCCCAGGCTTAAATGTATTCTTTTCTTTTTTTTTTTTCTCTTGTCAGCCCTGCCATCACTGTGAGCCAGGGTGAGGTGAGCAGCCCCCAGCGGGTCACCGCCAGTCAGCAGCAGACCCGTATATCTGCTTCTTCAGCTACACGAGAACTGGATGAGCTGATGGCATCTCTCTCTGACTTTAAGGTGCCCTGTCATGACAACTTAATACTTCATGTCATCCCTCCCTACGCCCAGACTCTCCTGCCTGTTAGCCACTCCTGCTGACCTTGGTTGGTCTCCAGAATGCCCTCTTTACCTCTCAAACTTGCTCTGAAAAACTTCTTGTGGTTGGTATTTGTGCTTTCTGAGTGCTACTGTAGGTGTTTGTGACTGCTGTAAATTCTCATCACTGGCAGGGTAAGGCAGTTCTGGGGTCTGTTTTTCCTTTGGTTCTGCAGTTTGTCTGTATGCCAAAGATAATGCACTTAGTTACTGCTCAGTACAGGGTGAATTATTTTGCTGTGCTGCAACTTCACAAGAAGTAGGGGAGCATGGGACACCAATCTGCTTACTGACAGAGACCAGACTCTTCTGTTCTGTGGGATGACCCTTCTCTTTGGAGGAAAGCCTGATGTGCGTTCCTGAGAAGGATCTTCCAGGCATGTGGTATGAGCACTGAAGTCTTTGTATCAAACAGATGGAGATGTCAAAGGTTTCCATCTTAAAACAGTATCTCTTATTCACCTCAAAATGGGATTAAAGTCTGAAGTTCTTGTGGGGCAGAGGATAGCAAATACTATTGAGACTCTTGTTTGGAAATGAAACTATTGTATTGAAAAAACCCTGCTACTTCAGTTGTAAGTAGCACATAAAAATCCTGTAATAGGATAAGGTCAGGCATAACTTGCCCATGGTCATCTTGATACATGAAGCACTTGGCATATGTACTTGGATGACTTGTTCTTTATTCATATAGGTATGTTATCGTTTTGCACTAGATGATTAACTGTGGAGCTTATTTTCATGAGATCTCATTTACCCATTATCATAGCAAAATGAAAAGTATTTTCTCTTTTTTCTTTCAGCTTTCAGATGGTTTGCTTATAGCTTTAATGAGTTATCCACTTGAATTTTATCTCAGAGGTGGAGAAAGCAAATACCTAGTTATATGCTCTTTGAGTTTGTCTCATTGATGAGTTTGCTTTTCTTACATAAGCATGCAAGTCTGCTTCCTAATCCTAAGAAAGTCCCTAAATGTAGTTTTTTCCTCATATGGAAGATTCTGATGATGCTTGGTGTTTCTTGCCTGTTCTGAACTCCATCTCCTCCCACCATGACTTCATGTGGGGCAGCCAGAGCTGAGGGGTTTTGTGAGGAGAGGTGGACAGGGCTTTCATTGATGAATCAGTGTCTGTTCACTCTGTTTGAAAAACTGCCCTGTTGAGAAGCTGGAGAAGAGTTCCCACCTGTGCTGCTCCCTCCATGTGCTGTGGGAGCTTGAGCCCTATGGCCTTGTGCCCTTGCTGCTTCTATCAGGGCTCAGAAAACAATCTCGGGGTGTGGTTGCTGCCACCAGCCTTTGCTCCTAGGTGAGCTCTTGGCAACTGAGAATGACCTTGCCCAGCACAGGGTTTTTTTGCAAGGTACAAGGAGGGGACATTTCTAAGTGTGAGTGTTCAAATACTTTGCAGTCTTGAGAAAACACCTGAGAGTCTTTGTGCAACTCCAATAAAACCTGCATGACAAGAGATGAGCTGCTTTCTGTAATTCTGCCTGGCTTAGTTTCTGGTTGAGCTCTGGGAGCAAACCACAGTGCAGCAAGACTTTAATATTTGAGCTTTATAAACACAGCATTAGTATTTTTGCAAGGCATTAAACTCATCTGTGTCTAAAGGTTCTTGAAGCACAAAACCCATGGTTTCTGTAATCATTCTCCTTTTGTTAATATTGTTGTTGGCTGTTTTTAACAGTTACTTTCCTTTTCCTCTCCTCCAGCAAGGATTTAAGGGAAAATGAAGCAATGTGGAGGATGGTGTGGTGTTAGGTTGTCTGTAAAAATGGATTGCTAGTGGCAGGATGGGAGAGAAGTGGGGTCTTTGCAAAAGTGAAAGATAAAAGGTTATTTTTCGAGTGCCAGACCTGTGTGTGGTTGCAAGAAACAAGACTGAAAACTAAGTGTGTGTATGTGTAACTAGGTGGAGTTGGTAGTTGGTACAACTAGAAGTTGCAGTAGATGGGGATAGGAGGAATGGAGGCACGGATGTTTAATTTCCCTCGTGCCCCAGAGTAAAAGGTGCTATTACAGACTGATACATTACCCTTCTATCATCTTTTGCTTGCTTTAATGAGTTGCTCATTGTTTTTGTGTCCTGAATCCATTTGATTTTGGTTATCTAGCTCATCATGCAGTCAGCGGGCACTGAGATTACTTAATGCACTTGTTTTTTTGCCCTCTGCCATTTCTGTGTAATGTGATGCCTGCTTACTGCATAGCTAGGTGCTTGTATTTAACTGTTGTATTACTGTTGAGTGTTCAACCATTGCTCTTATTTTGGAGCTGGAAATACTTGCTTTTCAGTAAAGTGGTAGTCTTGCTTTGAAAATGATTGATTTCATTTTAGGAAGGCTGGAAGCTGAGTGTGAGCCACAGCATAAAACCAGGTTACTTTTACAGGTGCATCCAGCTTAGGCAAAGTACAGGGGGAGGGCAATATTGGGAAATCCCCTGATTTTAACCACTGAATGTACTTATTAGTCCTTTTCATCTCTGCTGTGACTGTGGGTCTTGCTGTGCTGCCTCAGGGGAGGAGCAGTCTGTAATGAATTGTGATTTCCTAGTGCCCTGCTCTTTCTGAGTGTGTTCTCCCTGTAGCACTACTGTTGTGACTCCACAAATGTGTGTGTGCATGCCAGCTCCTGACCCCTTGGGATGGCAGCAGCTTAGGTCAGCTGAAGGTATAAGTCTCTTCCATCTACTGGCAGATTTTGTGCGTGTTCTGGTTAATTTTATTCTTTATTCATAAGTATCCCAGAAAAGTAAGTAAAGACTGAGATACCGTGTGTGGGTTTAGGAAGTTACGTGCCCTGCTACCTGAGAGCATGAGCATCTCAATTCTTGAAGCTTTGGAAAATCAGAGCAGGTCTTGATAGTTCTTGGATTTGGAAATCCTTTGTAGATATGTTTTTAAAACTGGGAGGTTCAGCATTGGTCTTAAGTCGACCTGCTGTGTGAAATTGTCTAAGCCACTCTTCTAATTTTCCCTTTTTAAGAAAAAGGAGTAAGGCCAGTTTGTAGCCTGGAGCTCAGCTAGCAACCACTGAAAATGGGGAAAGGAGGACCCATGATCTTTTTGTTTTCGAAAGATTCTGTAAGTCAAGGAGAACCAAAAGGTCTGTATCAGTTGCTCTTGTTAAGAGTGTATTTTGGATCAAAATAATAGTGATTTTATTACAATGCAAATGTGGAGTCTGTGGCCTTAGGGGAAGGGGCTAATCTAGCCACCTAAGCAATGCTTACAGGGCGTGGAGTGACTGACAGACTTGTATAGATTCAGTGTGTGTCACGTCCAAGGTGAGATTAGTGATGTGAATAGAACAAAGCCCGTGTCATCTGTTCTTGCTGTGAATGCCCTGAAGCTTTGTTTTCATTGCCATGTACTCAGCCAACTGCAGCATTTTATTAGTGTATCAAGAAGAAAATGTCATGCTTTGTTCTGTTCATTGATTGTTTTTTTTTTTCAGCTTTGAAATGTAGGATTTACATGTCTGACTATGAGTAAGTTAACGTGACCTTTACTCACAGTCTAGACATTCCTGGGCTTGTAGCTGGCTTCCCAGCAGCTGCTGCGTGCCCCCATCACAGCTGCAGGTGAACACGTGAGCTGTCACTAGAAGCCATAGGAAAAGGGTCTCAGTGGCTGTAGAACTTAATTTCCTGTAATCTCGTGTGGAGATCAGAACAATGTCATACTGGTTCTGCTCTTTGATATCTCATTTTCCTTCCTTACTCTTGGAAGTAAGGCTTTCGATCAACACGGCTCTTTGATGTGGAGGTCATGATTGCTGTAATGCTTAATTCTTTGGGGTTTTCCTTCTCCTTACCTCTGTCTTTATCTTTTTTTTTTTTTCTCCTTATTCCTTCTGTCTCCTTTTTGCAGACTAGTTCCACTCTGTCTCTGATTTCTGAACCCTCCCTAGAACCAGTTCCCAGTTCAGCAGATGCAGACTCCAGCAACGCTCCTCACAGCTCACCAGTGCTGTCCCATTCCAAACGCCCTTCTGCAGGTCACAGCCGGGGCTCGGCAGTGTCGGCATCCGTCCCATCGGCAGCACTCTGCCTTGAGGAAGGCAGGCACGCTGTAGTTCTGCCTACTTCAGGGCATTCTTCTGCTCCTCCACGTGTGCACTGTTTGCCACAAATGGTCCCTGTGCCCCCACCACGGGTCTCTTCTGCTTCTGCTGCTCGTGGGGAGCAGATGACCTCTGCAAGCCTGGTTCGGCTGAGCAGAAAGCCTGACTCTTCTAGAAACGTTTTCCAGGCTGTACCGGCTTCCAGTGCGGAGCTTCTGTGTAGTTCTGCTCATGTGGAGGCACGAGGCCTAGAGAACGATTTGGCAAAAGAGACTGAGAAGGAGGAGAAGAGAACTGACCCCAAAATCTCAAGTGTACCAATTTCAAACACTTTAAATGATCAAGGGAAGGGGCAGATACCCAAAGAGCTGGATCAGCAGGGAGCACTCAGGGACAATGCAGCCCTTCCTTCCCGGGGCAGAAATGTGGAAACAGCTTTAGATGAGCTGTGGGCCCTGGAGCTGTCTGCACGTGTGCCAGAGGGACATGCAAAGAAGGACAGCGTTTTGAATCCTGTGTATGAACCTTCTGTTGTGGCCCTGGATCGGTGGGATGTCTTCCCAGACACCAAAGACCAATTGGGCTTTGTAGTGGAGCAAGGACAGGAGCTGAAAGCTGGAGTACCGCATGAAACCAAGGCAGATGGCTGTCCTGATCTGGTCAAGAAGAGTCAGGGCAGAGACACAACCCCTAGGAAGGCAGGTACTGCTCACATGAACAAAGCTGGAGGAGACCAGGAAAACACGCAGTTCAGAAGCTCTGCAGTTGCTACGGAATCTCCTGAAAACATTTGGAAAGCTGAATGGGATCTGCCATGCATCTCCAAACCACCCATTGAGAGGATTTCTGCATCAGGCCAGGCAGGCACTGAGTGAATGTAGGAGTAGGATGAGTCCTGGCTGGCACTGTTCTGCCAGCACACTAACATTCTGTGTGTGGTGTGAGTGTGCCCAGACTCACCCACGCTAACAGCACGCAGCTCTGAGCAGTGTTACTGACAGCTGCATGTCACGGAGGTTTGAAATCCTCTGCTTTATCTTGTGGTCTGTTCTGCATGTCAGTCACATGTCAGCACAGAACAGGGCAGTTTGTAGGGACTTCCCTGTGAAATGGACTCTGTTCCCTGGCTGGGGTAAGGCTCAGTCCATAGAGGCCTCTGAGAAGTTAAAGGGCTGTTTCACGCCGCTGGAGGATGTTCCCGACTTGGGATGGCAGCTCCCCTGCTCTGCGAGCCTTTTTAGGTCTCACTGCTGGAGCTGTTAGTGTTCCTTCCAGCGCTGGAAGTACGTTTTGTACACCAGACAGCTCTGACCACGAGTCTTATGCCTGTAAAGGGCAAACACAGAGAGGCTGCTCCGTGACCGTGTGATGCTGAGGTTTCTTTAATGCTCAGTGGAGTGGTCATGCTGCACCTCCTATCTTGGCTTCCTACTGGTTAATCTTTCCCTTCCTTTTCTAGATAGTTATTTTTGGCTGCTGTGATTATCCTTACAGGGTTTTTCCTTGCACTGAGTCACTGTTCTGGGCTGTGCCAGGAGGAATTTTGGCATTGTGGAATAAATGTCATCACTCTTCCTGCTCACGGTTGTCACTAATGGCTTGAGTTTGTGCTGTTGCATCTTGGAGCTTGCTCTGACATTGCTCTTCTCTGCTGATACCATTACCTTTGTCATTTAGATTAAATCTTTAATCAAGAGGACAAAAGAGACTTCAAACGTGCATCCAATGTATCGTGACCTCTCTCCAAGGCGTAAACTAGGTCCTGCCATATTTCACAAGACTGAGTCCCAAGATCGCTTGATTGAAGAGCTGCAGGACAGACTGGGCATCGCTGAACAGGAACAGGAAGAACGGAAAAGCCAGGATGACTGGCTGACAGAGGGGGTCATTATCACTGCCAGACCCCAGGGGGAAGAGCAGAAAGGTGGACAGCAAGTAGAGAAGGTAGAAAGCAGGGAAATGTGCTGGGAAATTCCAGCATGTCCCTCTGCCCAGACAGCATTGTGTGGAGGTGCAGATTAAGTTTCTAAGTGTCCTAAGGAACACGAAATGAAGAACTAACTCTTTCTACTCACCCTTGTCTGGCCTGAAAAGGGAACCAGCACTCAGTTCTTGATGTTTAAGAACTGGAGTGGCATCTGAGGGTGCTGGTGATGGTATCTGTTGGACAGTCTGCTACTATCACATATCAGATGTCCATGTGGGGATTATTTTTAAAACCATGCCTGTCATAGAGGCATGCTTTGTTTTCCCCAGTACTGTACTGGTGCAGGGAGTTCTGGGTGTAAGATGATGCTCTTCCTTGAGCTGCACAGGGAAGGATGTTTTCTAGTTCCCTTCTCTTTCTTGCTGCTTTTTCCCCTTAGATAAACATGGTGGTATCAACCAGCCTTCCTGTTGCAGGAAGCTCTTGTTGGTTCCTCTTTGGATTTATTTACCTTTCTTCTTCCTCCCTGTCTTTCTAGGTGGTTTTTCCTCCAGAATCCCCGCTCCCTGCAAGGAGGACAGTCTCTGTGCCAGCTTCTCCCCTGCTCCAGCCTTCCAAAGAAGCTGCAAAGACAGTCTCTGCTAACGCTGCTCCTTCTCATCTCTCTGGCCCTGCACCTCTCCTCCCACTCCCACCTCAACCTTCCCATGTGCCATCCACCCCAGCTCCTAGTCCAGTCTCCTCCTCTTCCTTCAGCTTGGCTCCCCAGCCTCTCTTCCAGTGGGCAACTTCTGATGATGATTATCGTGAGCTTTCTGTTGTGGGCACTCCTCCTTCTGAAGATCCTAGGCGTTCCTGTTCTGCTCAGACCTGGACCCCTAGCACCAAGACAGTAGTTTCTGTTGGCTGTCAGACTGAAGATGATGCTTTCTCCCCACAGATGCAGGCAGGCTTCTGTCTTCTGGTTTGCTTTTTAGCAGTGTTTTCCATTCATAACTCCTGCTTCCAGCTTGATAGCTCAGTAAATGTAATGTTCAGGTAAAGGCTGGTACTGAACTGCCAGATAGGAGGGACGACTCCTTGGCAATATCTAATCCCAGCTGTACCTAGTGCTGTGAAGAACATGTCTGTGCAGTCACCTGCTGGTGTGTGCGTGGTTCCTGTCTGTTCTGATGGTCACTTTGTGCAGCAGGGACTCTATTTTGCTCTGAGATTAAGAAGGCAGCTCTGAAACACAGGCTGCAACTCTCCCTGCTGCAATCTCTCTCGGATCAGGGGGCATAAAAAATGGCAAAATCTCAATACAGGATGGAGCAAATCCGCAGTCCTTCCTGTGCTTGCCTGGTTAGACAGGTGTCCACAGTGCAGGTGGACTTTGGGAGAGGAGATGGTATGATCAAGAGCTGTGTTCTGCATCTCCTGTCAGGGAAGGGCCGCAGCTCCAGGGTGGTGGGCGGTCTTAATGTGTATGAGCAGTGCAATGTTATGTGTACAGGCAACTCAAGCAGTGAGCAAGGAAACACCTCTGCATCTTGAACTGTTGTACTTTTCAGGTGACCCCTGCTCCTCCCCTCGTCCGCAGTGCCAGTCTGCTGCCTGCTCCTGCACCCCTGGGCCCCCCAGCCCCTGAGAAGGCAGGACCACCTTTCTGTTTCCTCAGCATGGTGTGCTCTTCTGGTCCATGAGTGTGCTGCAGGTGCTACTAGAATCTGCTCCAAGAGCTCCCAGTGCCCTTAACATAGATGATATCCTGTAGTGCATGGTTTGCTGCTCATAGGGCTCCTAACTGAACTTGAGTGATGGCAGATCTCATGGGGGAAGGGTGGGAATTTGAAGGGCCTTTGCATGATGAACTCATGCGGATGCTGTGCTGAGTGTCCCCTGTAAACAGCAGACATGGTGTGCAGGAGGTGGAAACAAACCTTGTTCAGGTGGGGACTCATCTGTGAGCTGTGGACAAGGCTGGATCACCAGGGCAGGTAGAACCTGTAGTGTGCACACGTGGTTGTGCCTGCACTGAGGCCAGCTGTGGCTTGCAGCACAGCGTGATCCTCCCAGGTGAGGGTGAAGTGCTCTGATGCTACATGTTGAATTAATTTCATCTCCTTTCTCTCCAGATGGTATTTATCATTTGTGTGTGGCATTTGTGCCTGCCCTGCCTGGTGGCCACAAGCCCCTGGCTGTGTGTTAGGCTCTGCTGGGAGTCATGCTGCAAGGCTGATGATGAGTGTGTGTATGTGTGTGTTTAAAAAAGCTAAAATTATGTATGTCTTGAGAATTTTTATACAAATGAATAGAAAACAGGGTTTGTCATTCAGTAAACTCATCAACTACAAGTACAGCCAGCTGCAGAACAGGGAATAGAGCCCCTGCCATGGCTGGAAGGGCAGGTTCTACCAAGGCTGTGAAGCACTTCAGGCCCCTGCTCCCCTGGCTGTGCTGGCAGCAGGCTGGTGGGTTGTTCACACCTGTAGATTTCATATTTGTTTTAATCTACCCTCTTAGTAAGAGAGTGCGTGCTGCAGACCAGCATCTCAGGGAGGGGCTTGTTTGGCTTTCTCTAAACGTGACAGTAGCTATTGCAGTGCAAAGTCAGCTGAAATAATCCGTGTTTCATTATTGCAGTTTGCCTGCAAAGGGGGCTTTGGCTTCTTCTTTCCAAAGAACATAGACTTTGTTTATAAATTATGAACCTAAGTAAAACATTTCTCCCCCTCCTCTGAGAAGCCTTTCCAAGCCGTGTGTACTGTGGTGATACAAGTTTTGGATGCAGTCTCTGAGAGAAGTATCTTAAGCTCTTTCCCCCAACCCCTGTGCATTCCCAGTGGGCCGACAATAGACGTGGCAGTCTTTCCATCACAGTGCTGGCTGCCAGGGCTCTGCTGTGGGAGCACTGCCCTCTCTGTGGGTAAACAGCCAGCAGCTTGAAGGGGGAGTTACTTCCTTCCTGCTTCCACTTGCTTTAGGTCAGGTGTGGGATGAGAGCCACCTGATGGGGACAAAGGAGACTTGGCAAAAAGATCTGCAGAAAGTGGTGCAGAGGGAGAGACAAAAAGGAAGAAGGTACTCTAGCTGAAAGGGAGGTGAGATGAGAAAGAGGAGAGGGATCTCTTATCAGAGAGGAGAGGGTGACAACTGAGAGCGATGAACAGCGTAGAAATAGAGAGAGGTGAAGGGGAAGGGGCCCTCTGGGTGGTGTCTCTGCTTTGTCAGCTGGCCAGGAGCTGATGAGGGAGAGGGAGGTGTTTGGCAGAGGCTGAGAGAGCACTGCACTGACTGCTTGGGATCTGCTGGTGACTTCTGCTGTGTGCACAGTGAAGGAAAATCAAGCCCTCAGTTCACAGCTCTGCTGTTATACATCCCAGGGTCTCTGCGTGTCTCTACATGGGCAGAATACATGTGTGTACCTAATCCTGGCTCTCACTGGCTTTTGCAGAGAGTGTAGCTGTCTCCTGGCAGTCTCCTGTCCATCTCTACAGAGGAGCCACTGGCAGCAACAGCAGGCATTTATCTTGTGAGCACCACAGCACTCGCCTTACAGTCTCTGTTTTCTCTTCCCTGCAGTTCATGGCACAGGGGAAAGCCGGGAGCAGCTCCCCCCCATCCACAGCCTCCAAGCCTGGCAGTCAGCTGGATACCATGCTGGGAAGTCTCCAGTCTGATCTGAACAAACTGGGTGTAGCTACAGTTGCCAAAGGTGTCTGTGGAGCCTGCAAGAAGCCTATTGCTGGGCAGGTGAGTTGAAGGTGCTGTCTCATTGCTGAGTCTTGGGCTGCAGCTGGGAGTAGTGGGGAGGGCTGTTTCGTGAGGCTGAAGAGACTGGAGATGCTGGAGAAACTGAAGTACTCTATTTATCCACTGGCTAGGTACGCTGTAAGCTCCTCCAGTGACCTCTACCCTGCCCTTGAGGGACTGCCCTCTCCTGAGATGATAGGTAATTCAGTTTTCATGCTACCCCAGTCCAGGGCTCACTTGAGTAGTAGAACTTGTCATTCTTGCTGACCTCCAGCTGGTATCTTGTCATGTGGTGTAGGGGAAAGGAAGATAGAGTTGTCCTTCAGAATTTGTCTTCCCAACAGGTAGTTACAGCCATGGGGAAAACCTGGCACCCTGAGCACTTCGTCTGCACCCACTGCCAGGAGGAGATCGGGTCGCGGAACTTCTTTGAGCGGGATGGTCAGCCCTACTGCGAGAAGGACTATCACAACCTCTTCTCTCCTCGCTGCTACTACTGCAATGGGCCGATCCTTGATGTGAGTTCCTTGGGGTATTAAGGGCACTGGCAAGGTGCTGCAGGCCTGGGTGTTAAAAATTCCACTTCACCCCTATGTCCTGGGTGGGAGGTTTTATTTGGGGACTTCTGTTTTAACTTTGCCCTGGCTCTGAAAGGGAAACAACTTGGCCCAGTGGAATTCTTACACTAGTGAGAGGAGTTAGTCCCTCTTACCTTTGCTGAAGTGGGTTCAGAACCCCACATGGCTCCATCATTCCTGTAATGACTGCTCAGCATTTGGCTGTTGGTAATCTGTAGGAACAGGCAGCAGTGCTGGTCCTGAGTGCCAGACAGGGCCCTGTGTGAGGGAGGAAGCAGCGTGTAAGGTCCTTTTAGGGTAAAAAAAAATTGTGCAGTGGGGGAAGCCTGAATGAGCCAGAGGCAGGGGAGAGTTGAGTCAGCTCTCTAAAGGACGGTCTGTTTAAATGAATGCTCTTGCCAGTACCAGCATGAATCTGTTCTTCCCCCCCCACCTATCCCCCTTACCTCCAAGCTGAAGGCATCACTGACATGACCTGCACTTTGTCTTTTCTGAACAGAAAGTGGTGACGGCTTTGGACAGGACATGGCACCCTGAACACTTCTTCTGTGCCCAGTGTGGAGCTTTCTTTGGACCTGAAGGTATTGCTGGTTTATGCATTCTCCTCCCTGAACCACAGACAAGTGTGCAAGGCAGAGCTGCTATTAGGGGACAGCCTGAGAGATGACAGGGGAACTACTGAAGATGGAAGTTCCAAGGGATATGGCTGTTTACAGGGGAAGGATTCTCGCAGTAGTTGTCCTTTCTCCCTGGAGTGTGCCTGTGTGTGTGTGTGTGCGTGGGACAGGAAGGGCTGCAGAACAAGGAGCAGCTGCCTGCTGTGTGTGTTAGCAGGGGCAAGGATGATCCTACCCACACTGCTTACCCCTCAGAGCTTCACTGGCCAAAAATAAAGATCAGGAGCTGATGCCCTTTGCCTCTCTTCTCCTTTGGCAGGATTTCATGAGAAGGATGGCAAAGCCTACTGCCGCAAGGACTACTTTGACATGTTTGCTCCCAAGTGTGGAGGCTGTGCCCGGGCTATCCTGGAAAACTACATCTCTGCCTTGAACACCCTGTGGCACCCCGAATGCTTTGTCTGTCGGGTAAGAAACCCAAGGTCCTTTGGTGCTGCTGTGCGACCCCTCTCATTTCCATCCTGCAGGCATCTGCTTCCTTATCAGGAAAAGGCGTCTGGGGGGTAGTGAAGGGCAGCCAGCCCCACAAGATAAAACCACGTCAGCAGCCAAACACCTTCTTGTTCCTCTGCCTGTTTACTTTAAACTTTCTAGCTGCTTTGCTCTTTCTGTTCCCAGCTGCAATTATGGGCTTCTGCAGCAGCTCACAGATAAACAGAGATATTTTCTGTGACCTTTAAATAATTATAAGCTGAGCTTCTCTCTAAGCACTTGCCTCAGCAATCAGATTTTGAAGATCTTCCTCCTATGCTCCATCTGACAATGTAAACTAATGACTGACCTTGTTCAGACAAACATGCAAGTCAGTGAAATAGTGGCAGGCTCCATACAACAGGCATAATAAACAGGAATACTGCAGATTAAAAGCTTGGCACTCTTTCAGAGAGCCTTGCAAATATTAACTCTTACAGGCCCCAAGAGATGAGCAAAATCAGACAGTGTTTCCTGGAGTGGGAAAGAAAGGCAGAGACTGGAATGAGCTGTAGAACCACAAACTGCCAGTTCCTGGTATGATGCTCAGAGCAGACTGCCACCATGCTGTGGGGACTGCCTGCCCAGAACTGCCTCTGGCTCCCAGAGGGGTGTGCAGAGAGTGGAGGCAGAAGATGACAGGTCCTGACTGTGTGGAGCTGGGAAAGACTGTGCCTTTTTGTGCAGAGATTGAGACTTCTACCAAGCAGTTCTACTTTCTTGTTCCCCTGCTGCCCCACTGCCTATATGAGTGGGGCCAGCACTGATGTCTACCAGGACACGAGATGGGATTCTCTTTGTGGTTTTGCTAAAGCAGAGCAGACTTTTCAGCTGTGCTGCTGACTGGGGAAGTAGACTGTTAATTTAACCAACTGTCAGCATTAGCAAATTGAGGGTGTTTAGCTGTATGTGATACTGTGTGTCTTCCCTGGAGAGTATGGTCTTGGTGCTGAGCAAAACCAGGATTTTGGAAATCTGGCTTCTTCTCTGGGCCTTGCTGCTGATCTGTTTGGTAAATCTGGCAGTATCCTCAACTGTCCCACACCCTGCTGCCTCGGTTTCCCACTCATACAAGGAGGGGAGTCTCCCCTGTCTGGTGGGTGCTCCTGTTGCAGGTTCTGAAGTGTAGCATCCTCAGCTTCCTGACACTGAGGGGTGAGGAGCTCTAGAGACTAAGAAATAGAGAGAGGTATTCAAAATACCAAATGTATTCAAAATACCAAAATACCAGTGGTATTCTCTGTAGGATAAACAGTTTCTCCCAGTAGTGATGCATGTGTACCTGGAGGAGATGATTCAGGATGGAGAATACTGCACAAAATGTACCTGCGTAATGCCAGCCATCCTGGAGAGATCACCTGGAAAGATTTACTGTGCCTCATTTTCTCAGCTGGCACCAGTTCCACATTCATCAGAGTTCTGCTGCATGATAGTCAGGGTTGGTCTCTGCTTCTGCCTGAAAGCTGGAGTGAGATAAAAAAAGAAAAAAGGTGCTGCAGTGTTTCCCATTTCAGAGGAAGGAGTGTTCTTTTTTCTCCTGGCTGGACACATCTGGTAGCTCAGCTGTAGTGTTATTTTTGTAGGAGTGAAACCAGCTCAGGGAATGAGCATGGTTGTTTCCTTTGCTTGTGGCTCTGTCTCTCCATCTATCAGCCTTTCCTTGGAAACTCTTCTTTATGGACAGAGTTTGGCTTTTTGAGCAACGGGATGATGCTGAAAGGCAGCAGTTCACCCTGCTCACAGTACAGCTCGGCTGTGCCACAGGGCAGAGGAGGCTTGGGGAGCTGCCTGTGTGCCCAGCTTGTTAAAACAATCTGTCCCCTTCTGCTTTGTCCTCCTGCAGGAATGTTTCACACCATTCATCAATGGCAGCTTCTTTGAGCACGATGGGCAGCCCTACTGTGAGGTGCATTACCACGAGCGGCGCGGCTCGCTCTGCTCCGGTTGCCAGAAGCCTATCACAGGACGCTGCATCACTGCTATGGGCAAGAAATTTCATCCCGAACACTTTGTCTGTGCCTTCTGCCTCAAGCAGCTCAACAAAGGAACCTTCAAGGAACAGAACGACAAGCCCTACTGCCAGAACTGCTTTCTCAAGCTCTTCTGTTAGAGGCATCATAGATGGGGCGCTAAAGCATCTTTCTGCCACCCCTTGGCAGTTCTGTCTCTCTGAACATTACTGTGATTTAGAAATCTTACCAGGCAGGGGAGGAGGGTGGGCGGGGTGGGGTGGGAGTGCTTTCTGCTGCTATGGAGAGGCAGTGGATCCAGAGATGAGACGGACCATTAAACTGGAAATGCCCTTGCTGTGTCTCAGTAGAGAGAGGCGAGTCCCCCTCGTGTGTGTGTCTGTGTGTGTGGCTGACAGCTGAGCTTAGCTCCAGGGCTCCAACAGGGAGGTTCTACGCAGCCCCCTCCTGGTGGAAGGAGTTTCAGCTGTGTCTGCTCCCTACACTTGCAGACAGCACAGCCCTCTGCTCTGACACCTCTTCCTCAGGCTTTTGTCTGCACGCCTGCAGTCTGAGCAGTAGCACAGTGAGGGCACCCTGTGATCTCAGTGCCACCCGGGCTCCGCTCGCCAGAGCCACCGGGCGTGTGTGACTTACTGAGATCAGAGCTCAGCACAGGCAGCCAAGACCCTGCAAGGGTCTCTCCAGTTCCATTACACTGTAAGGAGATGATACCACTTACTTTTTTTTTTTTTTTTAAAGAGGAATCAAGTTATTACTGTGTGGGGTGTTGTGGGCTATTTTTTTCTCTTTTTTTCCTCCCCCCTCCTAGTTTGTTATTCCCTGCCTTTTCTCAACACACTGGAGCAGAGGTGGAGTAAGCCCCAGCCATCCCTCAGCTCTGCTGCGTGCTCCTACAGGTGACATCCTGTGCTGGCCACCCCTGTCAGCACCCAGGCCTGCTCAGGGTGTCTGCTGCCCTTGCCTGCTGCTCCCAGGAGAGAGGAAGAGGCATCATCCTTTCTTCAGAAGCAGGTGCAGAGAGGTTAGAGCAGAGCACAGCCTTTTTCATCCATCCCTGTCATAAGCGAATGTGACGTGTGTGTGTGTGTGCTTATCTGGCCTGGAACGCTCCCATCCATCGGGGCCTGGAGCTGTCACAAGAGCAGGGGGAAGTGAAGGGGTTTAAGAAGCCAGGAAAAAACAAAGATCCAAACTTTATATCCTTTCTTCTTCCTCTCTTTGCTAATGAGACCTGTCAGCCCTTGGTATTTCCCTTTTCTGTGCTCTTGTTAAACATGTTCTACTGAGAGACGCTCGAGCAATAACCTTTTATATTGACTGTTACTGGTATAACAAGTCCCTTGGTCAGGTGTGTGTGACACACTTGGAGTTTTACTATCAAAGTGAATACTGTATCCTGTCTTTGATAAGAACTGTAGATTTCTACACTGATTTTGAATTCATATCTAATTTACTTTTAATCCTCTTATACAGAAATTGGTTTTGAAGTGATTTTAAGGAAGCAACTTTTATATCAAGCTGTGCTGTTCTAAGCAGTATCCCAGTTGTGCTGGTTTGCTGCATCTGTAACCTCAACGCTTTGTTAAACCTGACTAACATTGAGTATTTTCTTTTTATTGTGGGTTGGGAGGGGCTGGAATCTCTGGGGAAGGGAATGTGACTTGTATTATTTTTTTTCCCCCCAGCACAGGCAGGTGAACTG